AATCTCGTCGATAATCACCAAGCTCACCTTTCGCACGTAGTCTCTAGTCTGCCAACTACGGGAGATACCGTCCCACTTTTCGGGGGTGGTGATGATAATGTCGGCATCCCGGATAGTCCGTGTATCAGGAGTGTTATCACCGGTCAATTCCACCAATTTCAGGCCCATCGGTGCTGTCAGACGCTTCTTCCAGTCCTGAACACGTTCGCGAACGAGCGCCTTCATCGGTGCAATGTAAACAACCTTCGAGCCCGGCTTTTCTCTGAAAGCCCACCACATAGCCAGCTCTGCGGCTACAGTCTTTCCACTACCGGTCGGGGAGCCCAGCAGAACATTAGCCGGGGTGTGATACAGCATGTGGAAGATCTGCGTCTGCATTGGGTTGAAGAATTGGAAACGCTGCCCATAAAGCTCCTCCAATATCGGATTCTTTAGCGCAGATATGGGAAGGGGTTGGAGATTGAGTAGATCAGTGTAAACACTTTCCGTATCTGGACGAATCAAGTGCTGGAAAGACACAGGATGCACCGTTTCTGCGCCCAACCAGCGGTCAGAGATCGCACGAACGTAGATTTGGCTGGGAAGAGGATCAGAAAGTGGGATGGTGAAATTCAACTCGTGTTCATCGTTCAGCTTCTTCCTACTGAGAATGAAGTACTCGTGGTGGTATATCTCAGATGTTTCCGAGTTTTCTACCCAGATCCAGTACGATTCGGAGGCACCGTGATGTCTATCATTCCAGATAAACTCTGGGTACAGACTCAATCGGATTCGTAGAACATCACGGTTCAATGGTGCAATTTCAGCCTCCACTCCAAGGGTAGGGAAATTATCAAGCAGCTTTGCCAACGTCTTCCCCATTTTTTGGTTGTGAACCAGCTGACCAATCTCGGCAGTCTCCATGTCTCTCATAGATTCGATGGAGGATGTCGGAAGCTTGTCATCTAAGTTCCTGAGGATCGGCTGAGGAAGGTCAAATTGATGGAATGGGTGATCAAACGGCCACATCTGCTTCTCAATAGCCTTGCAGAGTGAGAGCAGAACTTGACACTGGTAACCCCAACGGCGGTTCAAGGCAATCATGAACAAGGAACGACAAATTCTGGCTGCATTCTGTGCCACATACCCTGTATCAGACACCAGAGCAAAGTCTTCAATCCTAGCGCGAGAGATGTATGACTGCAACAGAATGTTGGTTTTGGCATGTGGCGAGTCGTTGCCTCCCTCAACCTCGGTCTGGATGGCCTCGTCACGGAGTCTATTTAACTCTTTGGACTCGGTTTCCCGGGCTTGGATGTTATCGAATTCACCACTCATGCTGATCATTCTGAGCACATCCGCCTCGCTGGCTCGAGGACGCATTAGATTGTTGAAAATCTCAACACTGGTCTGCAAGACATAGTACTGGCTTGCAATGCGGCCAACATCTTTCGCGCGCAACTCTTCTGTCTTTTCGTTGTATATGATCATTTGACTCTTTTGCAGTACGATGGCAGCTTGGATGACTAGCTGACGACGTCTTTGCACCAGCATAGGATCGTCACGAATTTCTGCCCAGTCAATTCCGTAATTGCGTGGCTCTCGTTTCATGCGAACAAAAAGATAAGAATATCCCAGCCATTGCACGGCTTCTGGGACGGAGGTAACCGTTCCTAGAGAAATTTCGGCATTCAGGTTATCCACCAGCCGGCTAGAGAATCGAGATTCAATTGGTTGCTGTGATGTTACAGCAGATATATAGTGGTGGAGCTTATCGTGGGTCGTACAGATGAAACCAATACCTGTATCTTGAAATTGGGGTCGACCAGCACGACCGAAGATCTGTAGCACATCCAATATACCTAGGTCGACGAATTTACCTTCTTGCGGATTGTACAACTGAGTACCTTTGATAACTACCGCGGCAGCAGGAAGGTTGACACCCCACGCAAGTGTGGCAGTACAGCAGAGTACTTTTATGAGCCCTTCGGAAAACAGTCGCTCCATGAGGTTGCGGTCACTCCGGCTCATACCAGCATGGTGTGTCCCGAGCCCACTGGCGAAAAGCTCACGCAGTTCGCGAGCACGGCTGCGTTTAACATCACCAAGACCATTCGAATAGCCTTCGTGCTCTTGACAGCTGAACAGGTTCTCACACCCATCCTCAGCGGCCATCTGCTTCAGCATTCGGGCAGTCATGACAGTGTCCTTACGCGAGTGGACAAAAACCATGACTTGGTGCCCTCGTTCGAGCATATCACGGACTTTCTCAAAAGCTACAGTATCAAGGTTCTCGCGAGACTGCTTGGTGCCAGGTTTGCCTTTCACACCAATGAAATGTTGTTCCAGAGGAACAGGGCGGAAGGACTGGTCGAAGAAAAAGAGACCAGCCATCTTGTTGACTTTGAGGAAATCGGCGACGTCGACATAATTCGGGAGAGTTGCGGAGAGACCGACAATGCGGATAAGTGATTGCGTACTTTCGACTTGACGCTGGGTACGAGCCACCAACGATTCAATAACAGCACCACGCTCATCATGAAGCATATGGACCTCATCGATGATCAACAGACGCACCTTCTGCACGAGCTCTGTATCTCCCGTGCTTTTCCGGGTCACCACATCCCATTTCTCAGGGGTAGTGACGATGATCTGTGTTTCCACAATCTCTCGCTTCGTCAGTTGCATGTCACCTGTAAGCTCTCGAACCTTGATCCCCAACCAAGCGAGACGTTTCCCGAGCTTCTCGGTAACTTCAGCGGCCAGGGCCTTCATCGGAGCAACGTAAATGATCTTGAAATCCTCCACCTGAACCGCAAATTCAGTGGCTTGTGGTTCCTCGATAGGATTTGGAATGGTGTTCTTCCCAATGGCGTTTAGAATTGTGAGCATAGCAGCATCTGTTTTACCAGCACCAGTCGGGGCACAGATAAGCATGTTCTCATTCGTCTTGTAGGCTACTTCATATAGTAGACTCTGCATCCGATTGAGGGTCTTGTATCCCTTGAAGGTGCCTTGACACAAGCCATCCAACGAGGCGATCTCCACGAGTTTATGCCCGGGTCTTAAGGTACCGACCTTGGACGCGGGAACCTCAACCTCGGTATACTTCTTCTCGTCGATTTGCTTACTGCCCATTGGCAATCCATATCTCTTTCCTCCAAGCGCAAGGACATTTCTGGACTCGTGCAGTTTGAATACATGAGGGTAATGCGGTTCCGATCTCGTCTGGGCCGGCATCAAGGACGCATGCTTGTGTTCGTAGTCTGCCTGTCGCAAAGCTTGCTCTCTTTCTGCCCTCGTCATAAGTTTCCCAGCCATCAATCCATCCGTTTGGGCCTCTGGGCCGGTATGCGAACTCGCGACAATATCCGCCCTGTGAGCAATCAGGTCAATCACGAAGTCGAGGTCATCGAATCCCACGATTTCGGCCAGTGACATTTGCAGCTCGTCGTCTCCGCTGTCCGTCGCTAGGGCAGCAGTGATTTGCTGCGCTAGTTCTCCGGCATCCATACCCGACTTTATAGCAGCAAGGCTCACGCACTTCTGCTCAAGCCAGAGCTGGTCGTAGCCGGATGATGTCGGAGGAGAGGGGAGCTCGTCATAGTCATCGAAGTCGTCGCTGGCCTCTTCATCGGAGCTGATAATGTCCCAGATATCATCATCGGCAGTTCCGGGCGATGAATAGTCCTCGTCGAAATCCAAGTCCAGTTCGCTTCCGTAGCTTGTATCTTTGGCGGGGTCTTGGGGAAGCTTCAAGTCCGCAATGGCCTGGCGCATGGCTGCCAGCTGGGCAAGCCACTGGGACTCGACGGATCCGTTGACAGCCATTACAAAGTTATGTTGTCACAGTTTGGTCTCAACTGAGCCGAAAATCTGCGAGAATCAACGGACTAGCCAGACTTGGAGATGACTAGCAAGCGGAGTGTGGGTGATCAGATTGATAATGAAGCGCAATGATCATCCGGCAGAATAGTGACCGCCCGCCGCTTATCAGCCTAACCGGGTGTGGTTTAGCCCGGCCGATAGGGAAGTATGCGGAGAAGAGCAGGAGGGAGTACATGGCCCACGACATTGGTCTTGGAGTTAAGTGATTTGTGTTTAAGTCTTCATTGCTCTTTATAGAAGACCACTATGGTCGATTCAATCAGAAATCCTTGTTGTTAAGTGACGCCACATAGTATATAAATTGGGTCAAAGATGAAAAATAGTGTCATGCTGGTTATATAAACTGGTCACTACCACTTGTACTCCACTGGCAAGGGGTCAGAAACTCTACTACAACTACCCATATCTACTACTATCCATAGCTCAATGGATTCCAATAACTGAGATCATGTCTAGTATGATCACTTATACTAATACTAGCCAGTAAATAAGGGTTGAATATCCTTGCTTGTCATGAGGCATCTGTAAATCCTCCAATTATTCTCTCTGTTCGACTTTGCTGTCTATATCTCCCTGACTCCTGAGCATGTCCTTTCTCCATGGTTATTCGATGGTATCTCAATAAACAACCACACATGAAAGTTCCAGACTTAAAGGCGACGTTACAAAAGTATTGATTTGGGCCTATGGCAATGCGAGCCTTTGACGAACAAGCGCGCCGGGGGTATACTTGACGTTTGCGTAGAAGGCGGCTTGCTCCCCAATTAACAACCGTTGCGTCATCGTTCAGCTGTATATAAGAAGGGCTTTAAGTTGGTGGATGGAGCGAATGCATCATTGGATGATGAAAATACCTCAAGCGAACCCATAGGAACCAATCATTATGATGGGTAAGCCTGCTTTCACGAACAGCTTGGAAGTCCATCATATGATTCGGAAAGACTGGAATCGGGTGGCACGAACTGCCGGGGGCTTTAGCAAGCACGCCAAACGAGGTGACCGAACGGGATGTATGTCCACGAGTTATGTTTCCGGACACGGGTCTCGAAGCCAATGTGGAAGATTTGATGATTCTCCAAGGCACCAATCGCATTAAGAGACCAATACGGAATAATGTCTATCGAATATCATGCTTATTCAGGCGGAGGTAGCATGAGGACGTATTCCCGGGTACTTAGGCCAAACTTGATTACATCCTTGTCCCGCAGTTCCACGTACCGGCCAGCGGGAATCGCGTCTCCGTTCACTGTAGTACCATTGGCGCTTTCCAAATCGATCAGATAAGGCTTGACACGTCCGATCCGATCTCCGAATTCATTCCGCTTTTCGACAAAGCGAAACTGCAGCGCGGCATGCTGTTTAGAGCAACTCGGATGCTCTAGAGGAAAATCCACTACCAATTGTTCTTTCCCAACCAACCAACAACTGCGTATGCCCAATTCCACCATTTCAAGGAGGTCTTGCCCTTTGAACACGTAAAGTCGCCACGGTTCCTTTGCTGGGGGTTTGCGCGCTTCCGGAGGCTCGTGATACTTGAGAACGACAGAGTTACCATTGACATTCACAGTCTTGCTCTCTGCAGCCAATCGCCCAGTTTGACCGAAATTAGGCTTTTCCTTCTCGGGAGGAGGGCCTTCCGACTCTTCAGTCCGAACTACTTCAGACGAGGTATATGCATCCTGCTGCGGAGGTAGGGGCGCTTTTGATCGTACTGGGGCGCGCGAGTCCGGGTCCGGCGAGCGGGATCGCGAGTAGTCACGTCGTCTGCGAGAAGACTTCTCCTTTCTGTCGTAAGAATCTCGGTCACGGTGACGACGGTATGAAGACTCTCGGTCGGAAGTATGTCGGCGTCTTCTCCGGTCATCGTCTGAAACATCCTCCTTATCCCTGCGCTCACTGCGCCGACGGTCATAATCTCTTCTGTGGCTTCGTCGGTCGGCCGGGCTGCGGGATGACCTCCGTCGCGAGCTGTCTCTTCGGGAGCTTCGATGAGATTCGCGATGTCCCGAATCGCTGCCACGGTCGTCGTCACGGCGTCGCTGTCGTCGATCGCGGTCAGGAGCTGGTGAGCCGGAGGGGGATCGGTACCGTCTCCGGCCGTGATCGTCGCGTGAATCAGGCATTTTCTATACAGCGGAATTATATACAGCGTCGACGACGGCGATGGAGGTAGTTTTCATGCGGGAAGCTTTGGAGCTTCGGAGACCCGCACGTGATGATCTCATGTGGAGATCCGAACTTCGGAATTAGCGGGATTATTTGTATCGACAACCAGACAATCCCGTTCAAACCCCGGTGCTTTCTACTTTGCCATCGGTCTAAAACATTCTGGAGAGGTCTTACATATCTCTCCATGTGAAACCATGCGGCCATGCTTAAGAAACCCAACATCCTCTGCTGTGGTGGTGGACTGCAGTTACTGAACACCCCATGCCTGTCCTCGCCACTTCGGTCTCGTGCTTTCCCCTCACAGTCTCGCTATTCCGCCAGGCGCTATGCCACCGCTTCTCACAACCCAGAGACGGATCTCTCATGGCCGTCATCTCCCACTTTCACCCCATATGAGCTATTTAAACAAGATCGGACCGCGCCATATTCCAAGACTCGCTATTATGAAATGGTCAAAATCTACCATCCGGATCGCCCATGTAGCGGACATCCACTATGCAGAGACCTCACACCCGAAGTGAGACTTCAGCGATACCACATCCTAGTGGCTGCGCATGAAATTCTATCTGACCCTAGTAGACGGGCAGCCTACGATTTCAGTGGCGCGGGGTGGAACCTCCATCCGTATGAAACGCCGATCCCATCCTGGGCTAGAACGGGCTCCAGTAACTACGGTCCGATATACGCGAACGCGACGTGGGAAGACTGGGAAAGGTGGAATAATCGTCACCAGGGAAAGCAGCAGACTCTGGTGGACCATCGGACCTTTGCGACATTCGTGATACTTCTGACATTAATGGGCGGAGCGCTCCAGGCATCTTGGATTAGCAAGCTCAGCAGCGGTTACGAAGACCGGCTTTGGGAGCTGAACCAAGAGTCATCCCGCCTTTTGAAAGGGCGCAGGGAGAACACTCAGCATCAAATGCAGTCGGTAGATGCAAGGGTCCAACACTTCCTTATCCGAAGAGACCCGTCCGGGTGTGGGTTGAAGGAGGAAGAACAGCCGGTTTATAAGCAAGTTTTACATTCCCAAAAAAGCTCCGACGACTCACCTGCGGAGGTTATTGGATCGGAGAGACAGGACTGTAGAGTCTTACAAGATTCAGTCCAGGCGGAAACTAGCAGTTGACATAGACTGCATGCGTAGCTCGTTCGCGGGCGTTGTAAATATGCTAATTACTTCAGTTTTACGGAGGCCTGGAGTTTCCACTTCTGAATGTATGCCCTGAAACATGCATGCATGGCAGCATCCTACATACCGAGCAATCATATGCTAGCCAATTGTAGAATCTACAATGCAAACAACCAACTTCCATATTCCTGACCCGACATGCGTGCTGCATCTGTGCCAGGCTTATGAGTTTGCCCGGCAACAATAGCTAGCAAACCTCGAAGCCGTCGAAATCACAACCATGGCATAGTCCAAGGCGAATACACAATTTTTCTTCCGGAGTACATATTGATGGGAAGTTTCGCATACGTAGTTGGTAATCTATCATCCAGATACATACAGTAATGTTCTTATTCAGCTAGTAGCAATAATTGCTACCCCGTATTCTGTGCTGCTCTGATGCAACCCTGATCCCGGTACATAACTACTATACGGGGGATTATGACATTATACCATGGCTAGCTGTATCATGAACCTTTAAGCCGATTGCTCTCGATAATTGCCATACTGATTTTTTTTTTTTTTTTTTTTTTTTTTTTTGAATTTTTTTTTTTTTTTTTTTTTTTTTTTGGCTAGGTACTAATGGTATGAGCCTGATAGTTGGAAATTCGCCTGCGTCATGATCCCAAGTTTTCGCTGTAGCTGTGATAAGAATCAGTGTTGTAGCTAGAAGTAAGAGACTCTGACTACGATCAGCTGAGATTGATGTATTTCTCGTTTGTGCTGCCCAAGTGGTGGAGCGCGGTGTGGAAGGATAGAAGAGCCCTTCAGCTGCATGCACATCCTGGTAATCGATATGATTCTATTACATGCACCTTCATAGGGTATTAGTAGCTGAGGCAATACAAGGATTTCTACTACTACTAAACATCACATTGAACAACCAGTAACTGTCCACTTCGACCTCTGAATATATACGTTCACCTATATCCGAGCACAATGAAGCCGCCAGCACCAGCACGCCTTCAACAAGTTCATATCCCCCTCGATGGAGGAGGATACGAGCCTATAACTTCCTTCGACTCTCATGAGGCGACATACAGTCAAGACCATGAGGCGATCCAGGAGAGCCTGTTGCAATTCTGCTCTGATAAATCATGGAACAACAGCTCAAGATCAGCCTTTATGCCTCGGCCTATTCTTGTTTCCTCAGAGCACCAGCGCCAATGGAAAGAGCTTAACAATGCTTTAGTCTCTGCTATCACTGATATCGTGGAGAGGTGGTGGACGGACTCGGTGTCTAGATTCCCTGAACGGATGCCTCTGGATCCTGTGGAGGAGGACCTTCTTCGTGTATGTTATTAACCCCATATAGTGCTGTGAAAGCAATCACATTGCTAAATGATACATGTCATAGTGGATTGATAGCCAAGTTCCATGCAAGATACATCCGTACCGAAAGTGCCGCGGCTCGTGGAGACCGGATTTTCTAATTGAAGAAGACAATGAAGTGGCATCTGGTTCTATAGAGAACTTTCGAATCAGTGAAATAAATGCTCGGTTTTGTTTCAACGGACTGATGTATGCAGCTTGCGGGCAACAGGCATTGGAGGAGCAGGGTATTGCTGATGGAAGTATTGGCTTTATCGGAGCGACAGACCCCGCAGAAGTAAGTGATGTTGATCATGATACTGGCCATTGAGCAGTACCATGCAGTAGCTAACAATACGACTTAATAGATGATAGGCGGTATAATGAGTCTGTTCGATCACAACTTGCCATTGCATCTTCTCAAAGGTGATGAACATGGGATTGACATCCACATGGTTGTGGAATTGCTCAGAACGCGCTTTGGAATCAGCTCTCGCTTCGTGCTACCTAATGATCTCAGACTTGTGCCGAATCCAGAAGACAAGGATGAATACAGACTCTGCTGCGTGGTTAGGGAAGGCGAATCTCAGGAAACTGAGCGCTTATCGTCACTGATCTATCACAACAGAGAGATCCTGGAGGAGATCCATCAAGTCGGTCTTGAGCTGCACCAGCGAGAACTTCGCGCTCTGAGTCCAGAAATGCTCCATCAAATCAGCCTCAGATGCTTCAATGACATGCGCACAATTCTGCTGGTGCATGACAAACGGATGTTGGGAATTGTTAGACAGGAACTTGAATCACTGATAGAAAGAAACATTATTACACCCGCACAGGCCAAGACCCTCAACAAAGGCATTACTGAGACACTACTGCCTGGCTCATCGGAGCTCGACCGGTTTATTGGATACTGCAAGGATAGTCCCGAGCTAAAGAAAGAGTATATTTTGAAACCAATTCGAGGTGGAAAAGGAGAAGGGATTTTGTTTGGCGAAGACCTTGACGCTGCGGATTGGGTGTCAAGATTGGAGGATTTGCGCCCCCCCATCCTGGTTCCTGGAACATGCATTGTCCAGCGCAGAGTCAATCAAGCTCGGTACGATGTGGTATTGAATTCGGAGGGAGAATTGGCTAGATATCCTCTCGTTGGGACGTATCATTCGATTCAGGGTGAGTTTCTTGGTGTTGGTGTGTGGAGGTGTAGTCCGCAGAGAATCTGTGCTATAAGCCAAGGAGGAGCGTGGACGTGCTCTGTAATTAACAGTAACTAATCTCTTTGTTAATGAAAATGGTTGTTGACAGTTTAGAGCTAGAAGACTTCTAGATGGTATGTGTTTCTTGAAGGGTTGATATATTTGATGATAATAGAGTCCAGGGTACATATGAAGCTGAATGTGCTTTAGGCGTAGGCAAGAAGCTTGAGGTCTACGATGTAGTCAATCTAGACATTAGCTGTCAATTACTAGATATATTGAGAATACTCTGGATTACATAAATGACATAATCCACATTGCTTTGGTCACAAGAAGAATTTCACTGTATGTAACTCGCCAATTGGAGATGCAGTAGAGCAAGTACACCATACGTGTATTCAGAGGCTTGCACCGAGAGTAGGACAGAACGTGGGGACATACGAACTGGTGATTAGTTCCAGCTGAGCCTTTCTTTGCCTTAATTCGCATTGACTTTCATGGGGGCTTCTATATGTAGCCCATGTAGTTCCTGTCTCTCCATTAACTGATCAGACAACTTAGATCAGCAAGCCGCTTTCTTGTCGGTGCTACCACATACAGAGACAATCTGTTACATCAGAACAGTCTGAAGTCTTCTCCTGCTTGCCCTTTCTCTTTAGTGTCTTTTCTCATTTTAAAGTTCCTCTCTTTCAGGTTGTATATTGATTCTGAAGCTGAGCCCAATTCCCCTGAAAATGCAGCAAGCAATAAGGAGCATCAAGCCCAATAAACCATTGGGCTCTACAGCTAGTAAGTTGACCTTCAAGCGACGATAGGGGGATGGCCTTCTGACTCACCCGATAAAAATCAGAGACATCACGCGCTGTGCCACATCTGGTAGCCAACGATCTCCGCCATGCAAGCCATCCCAGCCACATCACAGATGTATCGAACACCCTCCGGCAAACCGGCATCCTCAAGGTCAGTCTGCAATTTGAGGATGATTCCAGCCACTATCTCCAACATCTCATGGTTGGTCTCCACAAACAACATGGCCACGGACTGCCCATCACCCACAGTGCATCCCGCGGCTGGTTCTGGGACATTCGACCTAACAGCACGTCGTTCCAAACCCCATCTCATCAGGCCCGATCCGAGACAATGAAGGAGTTTCCTTGGCACACTGATTGTAGCTATGAAGAAGCCCCACCTCGGTACTTTGCCTTGCAGGTCCTACGAGAAGACCAATGTGGCGGTGGTACTCTCTCCGTAATGAATGTCGGCAGACTGAGTTCCCTGCTGTCGACGTCAACTTGCACTGCACTGCTCCGGCCCGAGTATCGTATTACTGTCCCACTCGAGTTTGTGAAATGTGATACGAAACGCCATGTTGTGGGCGGCTTGATGGCTACGGATGCCAAGGGGTTGCCTAGTATGGTTCGTTTTCGTGAAGATATTGTCACCCCGTTGACTGCGGAGGCGGCGCTAGCGTTGCAGGAGTTGAAGAATTGCTTGCTGGGACAGAAGGTGCAGGCAGAGACCCTGCAACTTACGTCGGATTGTTTGCCCAGGGGGTCTGTAATCTTGATGGATAATTATAGGTGGCTTCATGCTCGGAGCAATGTCAGGGATCCGGAGCGCCATTTGCGGAGGGTTCGTTGGGATGCGAGACCTTTTCCTACCTCATTGAAGGCTAACAGCAGAGTTCAATAGCATATTCCTGTAGTAGTTGAGCAGTCTTTAGATATAAACAAGGCCCGATGACATATATGTATCGTCAAAGTCCGGCATCATCTATACACATTTTGCAACTCCCTCGCTGGGCCTACACTTTCGCGTGCACACACCGTAGGCAGCCCTTTCTACCATTTGCTACTATTACTTCATTGGCCCTCAGCACGCTGGAGGCAACTATGACACGCCGGCACACGGCCTACCCCAGCGCACCATCCTATTCGTAATCACATCCGCGCTTCTCACTTAACCATTTTACTCCTGATACCTCACCACCATCTCGCGTGGCTGAGGTTACCCCCTGGCAAACAGAGGGATCCGACAGGTTTGGGATATTGGTCGCGCAGGGAATGTTTGATATATATGGGCTGGAGACAGAGTATCTTGCACAAATATCGGGGGGAGGGTCCCGATGGAAATAGCCAGTCAGAGCAGGTGATATGGTGTGGGTGGCCGGATGGAGGAATTGGAGTGCAGGCGTGGTGGAGGGGGTGGGAGGGAGAGGTTGGGAGTGAGGAGGAGGTAGAGTTTCTAGCCGCTGTTGCAGTGGAGGAAACACTTGGATTAGGGGTCCAAGGAATTGATGTGGATGAATTGGACTTGTCAATCCGGTCGCATATACTACTAGCGGTCATGCATGCCGCGGTGAAAGATAGGCAGGAGAGGGAGCGGTTCTTGGGCAAGTTGGGAAGGCGGATGGTGCAGGAGGGATTCATTGACAGGAAGAGGGCAGGGGGATGGGTCAGAGAAGCCTTGGAGATCATGGAACTGTATGTACGCGAATGGCAGGGCGTATGGCCTGGGGTAGAGGAGAGGGGAAAGATGCTGCAGCGCATTCTGGTGGAGAATGCGCAGCTCTTTGCACGCTGGAGGGTGTCACCTGCTTCGAAGCAGTTTAATTTTGAACTGGATTCAGATTGGTTGCTTGTTGAGGACATGAGGTTATACGGCGTATCTGTAGTAAGCAGTTCAGTTCATAACGCTTTAGGAGTAAGCAATTCAGTTGCAGAGGATACGAATTCCCATGTTGCAACGTAACGCACCCCCCTACCTGCATCTCGTAAACCCAATCTAGCGTACGACATACTTACAGCATATGCAGCAAGCCCCTGGGAAGTACTAGTTACATACTATTTTGTCTTCGTCAGGAAAACAAACAGATTACGCCAATCACTCGCTACGAAACCCCACGGTTAGGCATATAACCCACATTGAAATTTTCGAATATTCGTTTGATTCCCACCTGACCAGTTCATCTCGAGAAAGCGGAAGATGACTTCACGCGATTAGCAAACCACCATGGAAGTAGCATTTGGGTCTGAACAGCGTCAGTCTGAGCCTATGGGTGACTGCAGCGTGAGGGTATAACAAATCCCCTGTTCTTTGAAACCCTAACATTAGGAACTTCTATCTTGTGATAATGTCCTTTGTTCATCATCATGAGTACCAACCCATTTTCCTTGGACGAAGTTCTCGCAGTTGCGAAGATCCATCCGCTTTACAACCCTAATCTACTTTACCCACCCAGCCCTGAGGAAATCCAAGCTACTGTGCAGGCACAATCTAGTACGGACTCTGGTATCAGCACCCTCGAGTCATGGCCCCTAACTACCAAAAAGGACCTGTAAGTCTTACCAGCTGTTTAAAACATCTCCTCCGATCAGGTGATATACTCATGACCTTCCTACTAGCTACAAAGTTATCGAGCGATTAACCAAGGACACGAACACCCAAAATGAATACCGGCGTAGCTCCTACGTCAGCGTTACCGGCGGCGGTTCCGGAGATATGCACTTGATGTTTTTCACAGATGTGAAAGAAAACCGTCAACATCGCGCAGCGTTTGGCGAGTTTCTGCGCACCTGTGGAGTTGTCGAGCCGCATGATTGGATACTGACGACGCATACCTCGGGGTATTTGTATAGGTAGGTTACTTTTCCAAGCCCGAGGACAATTAAATGCCAACGACGAAAGTTGACTCTTCTCAACGCTGCGCAGATCACTTGACCTTCTGACCGAGATCCTAGAAAACGCAGGAGGAACCATACTGAGTGCTGGCAACTTGATGAAACCGAGCGAAGTTGTACGCGCACTGGCGCGATACAACGTCAATGTGTTGACTGGCGATAGCAGCCAAGTGATCCAAGTCATTCATCATATCTCGACTCTTTCAGCAGACGAGCGAAATGTGATCAAGTTGACCAAAGTGATCTACACATCCGAGCCACTTACCGACACTCAGAAAAGATATATTTATGCCATACTGGGTCCGGCAGTGAAGACATACTCCATCCTGGGAAGCGCAGAGGCAGGACCTTACGCAATCCATAACCCTGATCTTACTGGAGAAGCATCGTCATATCAAGATATGTCTATAGACTTTGTGTTTGATACCCGCAGCATCCTTGTTGAGATCTTCCCTCGTTCCATCATGGAAAGTGACACGCCCTCCTCTGATTTGAAGCTTCTTCCAGAGGGCGAAGAGGGTGTCATTGTGCAAACGTCTTTACAGCGTCGACGAAACCCGCTGGTGCGCTATATCACTGGAGACCTTGGATCCGTCCATCCAGTGCCGAAAATTGCAAGATCCATTGTCCCGGAATCTGAGATGGAATACTACCGCGTCCTCCGACTCCGGGGTCGTGACCGTCGGTTTAGCTTTAAGTGGTATGGTGAGTATTTTGAATTTTCGAATATTGAGATGTTCATGCAGAAGGAGACGTTTGGCATTTTACAATGGCAGGTTATCGTAGGGACGCTTGATTCTTCTCCCCAAACAACACTTGAGATTAGGATGCTTCGTGCCGCGGCAAGTGACGATATGATCTCTCTTGAGCAGTATGTTTATGAAGTGGAGAGGTTTTTCTTTGTTTTACCGGATAATAGGCACTTGTTTAAATTGACCTTTGTTGAAGATATACGTGGGTTCGAGAAGAGCGGTACAGGGAATAAAGTTATGAAGTTTGTGGATAGAAGACGCTAGTAGTATGATCTAGTAGTTGAAGACATATTTCCATGATACCCGATAAACCACCCTAATAACTCCTCGGCAACTGCAACACCTTCTCACTAACATAATTCAAAATCATCTCCCTACTAACCGGCGCAATCCTGGGCACTAAACACTCCCTCAAATACCTCTCCACATCATACTCCATCGCATACCCCATACCCCCATGGCTCAGCACCGCCCTCTCACACGCCGTAAACGCCGCCTCAGCAGCCAAATACTTCGCACTATTACACGCCACTCCCACCGAATGCAACGGAATCGTCTCATCCTTCTTCGACGCATCATACAGCCTGGCAGCATGATACGTCGCCAACTTGGCCGCCTCCAACCTCATATACGCATCCGCCAACGGATGCGCAATGCCCTGGTTCTGTCCAATCGGCCGTCCAAACACCACTCTTTCCTTCGCATAATCCGCTGCTCGCTCCAGCGCCGCATACCCCAACCCCAATGCCTCACCAGCAAGCAAACACCGCTCCGCGTTCATCCCATGCAGAATAATCCGGAACCCTTCATTCTCCTGCCCAATGAGAGTGTTTGCGAGTACTTCGTACCCATCAAAGAACACCTCGTTAGCGTCAACAGCCCGTCCGCCCATTTTCTTGATCTTGCGCATGTCCAGACCGGGCTTGGTGCGATCGAGGTCGATGCAGAACATCGATAGACCCTGCGTGGACTTGGTTACTTCTTCCAGCGGGGTCGTGCGCGCTAATAGAATCATTTTACTGGCCACTTGCGCGCAGGTAATCCAGATCTTCTGCCCTGAGACAGAGTAGATGCTACTACCATCTCCGGAGGATTTTTTGGTGGCTAGGGTTTTGAGCTTGAGCGTTTCGAGGCCCGTGTTGGGCTCCGTGACGCCGAAGCATGTGCGCCATGTACCGTCGATGATCTTGGGGATGGTTTCTTCTAGTTGCTCGCGCGTGCCGAACCGGGCGAGTGGTTGTGTTGCGTATACGTTGGCGTGGATGGCTTGTGCGCCGGCCATGCCGGCGCCGGACTGGGTGATGGTTTGCATCATCATTGTTGCTTCGGAGATTCCTGGATGTGATGTTAGTTATATAACACTGTGAAGAGTGGCAAAGGTTGTTTGGGAGGGGGTTGAGAGATTGGCCTACCTAGACCTGCGCCTCCTAGTTCCTCAGGAAGCGCGATACCTAACCATCCGTCTCGGGCTAGGGCGGCGTGGAACTCTTTCGGGTCGCGCTCGTTCTGGTCGCATTCTTGCCAGTATGTGTTGGGGAATTTGGCGCAGATGGCGGATACCGCGTCACGCACTGTTAGTTGCTCTTCGGTGAAGCCTGTTAGTTCCATTAATGGGCGTGCGGCGCTGGTGCTGAAGCCGCAGCGGCGGGATGGCCGGGCGGGTAGAAGGGAGGAGCCCGGCCTGAGAGCGCCAATTCGGCTGTGTTGAAGGGCGCGACTTAGTTGGTATATACGGGACATGGTTGATTGAGTATATGGATAGATTTTCGCATCGAAAATGAGTTGGTTTAGGGAAGTAGAAAGTTGATATATATAAGGAAAACCGAAAAGGCATGCGATCATAGAATGCGGCAAATACCCGAGGGCCATATAGCCTTCTTGGTTCCTCCCAATAGCCGAGCCCGCATGCTGGATGTATCAACCTTAAGCTAAGTAGTACTACCGAAATACATCAAGGCGTCTTCAAAATCAACCACAGAAATTATGTCACCGGCCAAAAAGGAGAAAAATGATCGAAGAATGAGAAAATGCAATTATATACCATCACATTAGCTCGTATATGACACGGTGAAGGCCGAGTCACTTTGCACGTCCACGTCCGTCAACACCTGGTTGCCCTGCTTCAGCTCGACAATAGTCGCATCATCTACACCCCATGTAGACCCTCCCCCTTGTGCTTGCACGCCCCAGAAGCTGATTTCCCCGAAGCCAGCCAGATCGACCATTGAGTCGCCAGACTGGAAATCCTCCACGATCCAGTCGGCATTCTGTCCGGCAAGAGTGGCTGTCGCAGCTGGGGCTTTGATCGTCTGCGTGGCCTTCTTCCCTGTTGATATGTTTTCGATTGTGGCTACGCCTTGACTCGGCGAGATGGCTTCCACCTTGGCGACAATTGTGTCACCTGTGCTCACATCCAGGTCGAAGTCGTATGCATAGTCTGGATACCACTCATACCAGGCATCGTTGTACGTCTGCCCGTTTTCCACGTAGAAGTCGACTCCTGTTTGGAGAATGGCGTTGCTGTATGTGTCGCCATCTATCCCGACCCAGGCCGATCCAGCCTGCGTTCCACTACCCCCTTGCGCCGTGGGTTCTGGTACGCGAAAGGTTGCCGACACGGCAGAATACGTGCCTTGCGGAGGTGGTTGCTCGCGCACTGCGCCCGCCCAATTACTGCTGTATGTAACATGGGTAGTATTTTCGTCAGGTTCAAGGAGTCGGGACTCCTCTTTGGTGGATGTGTCAAGTGGAAGTGGTGCAAGAGGATGTGACTGGCGCTGCAATGACCGCGTACGGAGTCTGTCCTCCAAGCCGGTGCGGGGAGCTGGAACCGCTAGGACACTGCTTGCGAGTGATGCAGTTGTCAAAAGATAGTTTGTGAACTTCATCATGAATGAGAGGAGAATGGATTGTGAAGAGTGATGTACGACGCTAGTGGCAGAGGGTATCGATAATATAGAGGGCAGGAGGGGGCGGGTCGTGTCCTGCAAGGTCATAGATGCACGACTTTATTATATCCCTCTGGAAGATCTGCAAGTCGCATGCGGATAGCGTTTACTTTCCTGCTTGTCACTAGATTAGGCAAGTTTCTCGACTAATGCCCCCGATCTCCGCGTGCCCACGGGGACACATAATCCACCGATGGAGTGTGGAGGTGCACGTACGTCACGGACCGAATCATCAAGAGTCTCCAGTGCGTATACAATTGGCCGTCGGACCCAAGATCGAACAAGTTATTTTTATCAAGGTTTTGCCCTAGCACCGATCTACCTGGGACCGTCCAGATTTCCCAGACTCCAGCCGGAAAGAGTGGGTGCAGTGCGCACGTTTTCCCTGATAGGTGCAAGACACCGAACAGGGCTTTCAGATGCAATAGGTAAGGCAGATGAACGACGGAATAGGACAGGATCGACGACTGCTGAAGCTGCGGTTATGGTGGTTGGATGCGCTGAGGCCTTCAGCGGATCGTATCACCTGCCATAGGGGCACTGTTGAAGCATATAACATGACCGAATGTCTGATCTCATTGTCAGACATAAACAAATAGACAACTTGTCAGATATGAAGGCAAATTAAAACTGAGCTGATCCGAAACATGGGTCGGCAGTAGCTGTCTATGTGGCTTTGTTGCAGAAGGGAGGGTGACGAGTGCAGGAATGAGGAATCTCACATACCAATCGACACAAGACCCCTTCCGCTTCTGTGGCATGTCCGCGTGGCTGCTGAAAACATCCGCTCGGGGTTTGTTTGATCCCTTGGGGTTCTGAGTCCCTGAGTATGGCCAGATCTCCCTTGTTTCAGTTCAAGGTGCCTTCGACTTGCGGTTCCTGCTCATACCGGACTATGCATGGGTCTCGTTGGGTCAGGCATCGCCTTATAGAGTCTATTGACAGAGATTATATCAAGATACCAAGCTGAGTCTGTTTCTTCGGACTATGAGGGGGCAAGCATAAAGCTCACCTACGTACCATGAGCTGTCGGGAATGTCGATAGGGTCATTCTACTTGAGCTTGTGATACTTAGGGTAGAACAAGGCTCCCAACATCCGCCCAATCAATGAAACGGGGAAATTAATGCGATCAATTGATCCATGTGATATTCGCCCCAAGAATGTAACCAAATGAGTTCTAGTCTAGTCTCTATCTATCGTCATGGGTATCATCAGATCCTCCATCGAGGATCAGAAACTCACTTTTGCCTTCATTGAGAACGTGAGCACTGGCGCCGAATGACAGTCATATCTTTCACGAAAAGTCGATTGAAATATCAACTAGATGCCGCAACGAACTGGTTGTGCGCGTGACCAACTGCCCTAAGCCTCCGTTCCATGTGATTTCCGAGAGTTCGTTCGAGCGTCGGATGGATTTAAAGCATCTTCCGAACGAAAGGAAGTCTCCGAATCCTCATGTAACAGATGTGTGACATGGAAAGAAGCTGGCTGTTTGCATGTAGTCTAGACAACAGTAGCTTGTTCATGCCGACGCCACTATGAGTGATCATCCTGCAATTTCCACCACGCCCCAGAGCCATGGCTAAGCTTTTGCGGAAGAATCACAGGATATCACGATTCGTTACTCGAAGCATCGATGGCGGCAGTGGTATCGCGCTTGAGGAAATGGCCCTGAATCCAGCAGCGGTACATCTTCAGCTTGCGCTGACGGTTAACGATCAACCGGTAATCGACACCTAGCTTCTCAATGTTAAAGGCACCCTTGGTATCAGTAGGGCTCTGATCATCCTTGACCTCGGTTTCCTCTCCTGTCGCAAGTGCCGTGGGCAAGCCCTTCTCCGGAGTCCATTGGCCCCACATCTTCTCAAGCTCATCGCGATCAAAGAAGTACACCCGTGTTCCATCACCACGAACGTAGAAGTTCTCGCCCATGTATCGGTTCTTCTTGAAGCGAACCTGTGCCAAGTCGCCCCGTCCGTAATCGCGGAACAGAACATGTCCGCCGGGTTTCAAGACGCGGTACACATTACGAATAGCCTGGTTCCACTGCTCTGGGGCCAAAGCAGAAAAGATAAAGATGAGAACGACGACATCGACCGACTCCTCAGTAAGGCCAGGAGGAAGTCCATTGCTGTTGTCATCGGGCTCCGCCGTGACATCCCACACATCAGCTGTCATATGCTTAGTGTTGTAGTGTGGGCTCTCGCGCATGACCTTGACAGCGGTCTTGGAGAAATCACAAGCATGGACCATGAGCTCCTCGTTCTCGTTGTTTTCCAACAATGGGAAGGCAGTATTTCCGGCACCTGCACCGACCTCCAGCACCACCTTCTTTCCTGCTGTAGGCTGAGTCACATCCGCAAGGACAGGGAACTCCTGGCGGAGCCATTTTCGGTTCTTGAAGAAGTTGGCTGTGTTGTTCTTGTAGAAAAGGTTCCACCACTTGGCAGGGTCGGCATTGAAACGGTTTCTGTCGAAATCCGAAACCGGGGTTTCGCGCTGCTTCGAATATTGGACTTCTGCGAAGGCTTTGAACTCGTCGTCGGGCTCGACATGGTCCCAGGCGTTGAACTCGAAGACATCGTCTCCCTCTTCCAGGTACCGGGAGCCGAACTGGAAGGGATCACTCCGCTTTTGATTGTTGGAGGGGTCGTGGGAGCGGTGCGGGGCAATCTGGGGAGGCGTAACTAGTTGGAGAACAGTCGCGATATCATCGCTCGAAGACGCGATCGGAGCAGGGGCCATGATTAAGATATACTCCGGCTGGGGCCTGGAAAGATGCGAGTCCGACGAAGTAAGGCTTGAGCCAAGTAGGAACGAGACGCCCCTCGATAGAAAGTAGAAGCCGATAAGAAAAATTTACAAACTTTGCAAACACTAAGCGACAGTCATGTGATGTACGGCCCACGTGCATCCAGATACGATCCGTGGAACGGATATGGGGTGCGGAGTAAATAACCTCGCTTCCCAGGTAGAATAGATGATTTCTTAACAATATTATTTGCTGTATTTGATCTTCTGTAAATACACGAGACCATATAGTGAGGTCATAACAAGCAGCACTTTTGGTTCGTTTCAATTCGCCTATACAAAACAGTAGCCACGTGCGGTCCCAGACTCAAAACGACCCAAAATCATCCCAGATAGAGTAGCTGAAAAGAAAAAAAGAGATTGATATAAGACACAAGTTACTTTCGAAGAATATACGGACGCAAAGAAGAACATATAATCATATATGCCATCCCGATTACTCGAGAGAGTCGGTGATACAGCCGTGGCTGGCATCCTTGACGGTTCTATTGGGTAACGTTAGCATCGCGTCCAGACATGAGCCATAGAGATGCATCATAAAAATATAAGCGATGCCAGTTAAAAGTGTGATACGTACCTAGCGTACTTGCCAAGAGTACCTCTGAGGGTCAGGCCGGTGGGAGGGAGCTTGCCAGCAGCCTTGTCGGCTTCCCACTCCTTTCTTCTTTGCGCGAGGACGGTCTCCTCAACATCAAGATCCAGAACACGCTTCACGGCGTCAATAGTGATAACATCACCATCCTTGACCAGGCCAATGGGGCCACCGACGGCGGCTTCAGGAACAATGTGTCCGATCAAGAAACCGTGAGAACCACCGGAGAAACGGCCATCGGTGATCAGGGCGCAGGACTGTCCGAGGCCGGCACCCATCAGGGCAGAAGAGGGCTTCAGCATTTCTACTCGTCGCAATTCGTTAGCGTTACTGGTACACGTACGCAGTGGAAAGGAGAACATTTTGCTGTAGCGACTTACCGGGCATGCCAGGTCCTCCCTTAGGACCAGTGTAGCGGATGACAACGACGGTCTTCTCCTCCTTCTTGATCTCGTTGCGCTCGAGAGCAGCAATGAAATCATCCTCATCATCAAAGACGCGAGCCTTTCCAGTGAAGACGGTTCCTTCCTTACCAGTGATCTTGCCGACACTGCCACCAGGGGCCAAAGAACCCCTCAAGATCTGGATGTGGCCAGTCTCCTTGATGGGGTTGGACAGGGGACGGATGATCTTCTGATCCTCAGGGAAGTCCGGCACATTCTCCAAGTTCTTAGCCAGGGTCTGACCGGTGACAGTCATGCCAGAGCCATCGATGAGACCTTCCTTCAGCAAGAACTTGAGCAGAGAGGGAGTACCACCAATCTTGTGCAGGTCAGCCATGACGTACTTGCCGGAAGGCTTGAGGTCCGCCAAGAAAGGAATGCGATCGGAGACGGACTGGAAGTCCTCAATATCCAGCTTGATACCAACAGAGTCCGCAATGGCAATCAAGTGAAGAACGGCGTTGGTGGAGCCACCAGTGATGTTGACCAAAACCATGGCGTTCTCGAAAGCCTGGCGAGTCAGGATATCCGAAGGACGAATGTCTTCCTTGAGCAGAGTCTTAATGGCCTCACCAGCCGCAAGACATTCAAGGTACTTAGCGTCAGACTCGGCGGGGTTGGAAGAGGATCCAGGAAGGGTCATGCCCATGACTTCGATAGCAGTAGCCATGGTGTTGGCAGTGTACATACCACCGCAGGCACCACCTCCAGGGCAGGCGTTGCGGATAATGTCAAATCTCTGGGGCTCGGTGATTTCCTTGCTGATGAACTGACCATAGGCCTGGAAGGCGGAGACGATATCAATGTCGGCGTTACCCTGCATGGAGGCGCAACCAGGCTTGATGGTACCACCGTAGACCATCAAACTGGGGCGGTTCACACGTCCCATTGCCATCAACACACCAGGCATGTTCTTGTCACAGCCGGGAATGCTGATGTTAGCGTCATACCATTGACCACCCATAACGGTCTCAATAGAATCGGCGATCAGATCACGACTCTGGAGAGAGAAGCGCATTCCCTTGGTACCCATACTGATAGCATCACTAACACCGACAGTGTTGAACTGGAATCCGACCAAACCAGCCTTCTGGACACCCTCGCGGACACGGTTGTTGAGATCGAGCAGATGCATGTTGCAGGGGTTGCCATTGTACCAGACAGACGAAATACCGACTTGAGCCTTGTTCATGTCCGCCTCAGTGAGGCCAGCGGCGTACAGCATGGCCTGGGAAGCACCCTGGGAGATGGGCTGGGTGATGTGGCGGGAGACCTTGTTGAGGCCAGTATACTCGTCATCGTTACCGTTCTGTTGCTTCGGCAGAGTGGTGGACAGAGGGCGACTGAGTGAATGGAACTAATATCAGCCGGTATTCTGAAGCAATTGGAGGACACAAGTCATGTCTAGGCCGTTATCCATACCTGTTCAGCAAAGAGCGCTTGGCGATGCTCCGGAGAGCGGAGGGCATACGCCCACGGGTTTGGGAAAGAAGCATTGCCGTCCTGGTGCGCGTGGATCGCGGGACAGTGTAACAGGGAAGGGTGCAGCAGCGGGGTGAATGCGTTCAAACAGACACAGAGACCTTCAAGACCCTTGACCACAACAAGAGGAAGAGATTAAGTAGAGCCGACCGAGGAAAGTGACTCCAAGTAGCAAAAATGGGCCGGGGTCCTCCGCAGCGAAGTCGGGGCCGGAGTTGGACAGCGACTCCGCGCCGCCCAATGTACGGCCATGGATTGTCAGCAAATCAGCATCTCGGCCCCGCTGAATAATAGCGGGTTCTCCCCGTGACTTGCTGACCTCCAGAGAGCTACCCTAAGCTGGACTAGCGCGGTCGCTTTCTGGTTTTGCCGATCCCGAAGCTGCACTACTGTTTGCCCCGGGTGCCATAGTTTATTGCTCATTATTACCGCTTCTCTGACCGCTAAAAGCGGCAGAACCCCGTCGACCTCGCTGAGAAAATTGCGGAAATAGACGGATATAGACGGATATAGTTTTCAACAGTCCCCGGAACAATGAGTCTGCATCTGTATAAATATTTACCGCCTTGTTGACCGCTCATAATAGCGGCAGAACCTCATGCCATCTTGTAAGCCAATGCGGCGACTCCGCCAAGTACCTCGTGCACCTTACCGAATTGGGTGGTTCCTCTATACAAAGCTTATTGTTAGTGCTTCACCTTTAACACACCGGCCTTTATCAAGTATTCCCGTCTTTGCGTTTACGCTTTTTGTCTACCCAAAGGTCACACCAAAGCTTTTGACAATCATGCGATATCGGTCAGAGAATGACGGACCCATCCTCACTGTGGTCAGATGGATGGGTGGACTGTTACACTGTACACCGGTATACTACTGACTATTGCAATTAAATCCGTATCGTTGCCGCAATAATGCCACACCAGCCTGTGGAGAATACAATTTTTGGGCTTACTATAAGTAGGGGCAGCCTTTCTGTGTCTTTATTCACCCGTGGTGTTGGTACGCGATCGTGGCCGCTCCCCCTTGATGCAAGGCACGCAATAAGAATGCAGGTGGAATGCAGGCTCTACAGCTACGCGTGGGAGCAAAACACCTCTCAAAATTACTGTTGAATTAGATCTCTAACATTTACAACCAATCTCGACACTAACAGCCCTCCAGCCTACAGCAACGGATGTGGTTCTGCCTCCGTGTAGGATGGCATCAAACCAGGACATGGCGTCTATTGCTATAGGCGCTCTAGGCATTCTACTCATTTCAAGCTGTACTGTTCCCGCACTACTCGGAATAATCCGGCGATTTTTGCATGTTAAAGAAAGACCCCCGATTCAATTGCCCGGAGCACATCCTTTCGACAGACCTGGCTATGAGGATAAGGACGGAGAGGCCAGTGATGAGGCGTTGAAAGGTTTTTCAGATCTTTGGAAGAGACTAGGAATAGCCATTCTTTCAGTCACTGGGCTTGGGATATCGCTGGCACAGGCCATCCTGTCCATAACAAAGGGCCAACATGTCTTGATTGTTCCCTTCTGCCTGCAGATGGGGAGCTGGGTGAGTCCGACAGCTAAATGTTTGTTCTGACTCTAACCAACTCTAACGGAAAACCCGAATATAGGGAGTTCTATCTGTACAAACGATTGGTTTCTTCATTGAACCGGCACCTACCAAGCGGTACATGCTAGGAGTATATGGTTTCGGGGCTAGCTTACTCGCCGCCATAATTCCCTGCTTAGAGATTGGCTTGTTCTGGAATACTGGGTATCGCCTAGATGCCGTGTCGGTGGGGTTAGCGATAAGTCAATTTGGAATATCCTTATTTAGGGCTACACTCTGTCTTCTACTTCCCCGCCGCCCGAACGTGTACCATGATGGCCAAATTGTCGACCGAGAGCGTACTGTGAGTGCTATGGAACGGTTCACATTCAGCTGGGTCAACGATCTCTTGGACCATGCGGTCGCCAATGAAGGTCTGGAGATCGATGATCTCCCCAAGATGGGGTTTGATACACGCTCGGAAACTCTTCATGCACATCTTGATCGTACGCGTGGTTCGCGAGCACTCTGGCGGTCCCTCGTGGTGGCACACCAAAGGTCACTCATCCTTCAGTCATCGCTTAGCATGATTATCTGTGTGTTAAGTTTCGGTCCGCAAGCAGCGATGTACGGTATATTGAAATCGCTCGAGAATCGCTATTTCAATCCTGACAAGAACCCAAAGGATGTTGATGAGGCATGGGCCTGGGTGTTCGGGCTGGGAACCGTTCTCATCATCTCGTCCAGCATCGAATCGTGGCTTTGGTGGATCATATATGCAAAGCTTTGGATCCCTATTTACGAAGGTCTTTCAGCGCTCGTGTTCGCCAAGTCAATGAGGTGTAAGGATGTCAAGCAGCTTGTATCGTTAGACGAAAAGGAAGGGGGTGACCACGATGCAGACGAACCGCAACAGGATGTTGTCAGCCAAAGCCCTATCAATCTTGCCTCGGTGGACTCCAAACGCATTGCAGATTTCGTCATGTTCAACTACTTGATTCCATCATCTGTCATCCGACTGTTTATAGGAGGTGTCTTCTTAGTCCACCTCATAGGATGGCCGAGTTTATTGGCCGGCGTCGCAACTGCTCTTCTTGTGGCTCCTATGAACGCCTATTTGACGAAGAACTACTCCATGGCACAAGAAGAATACATGAAGGCAAGCGATAAACGCATGGGAGCTGTAGGAGAGGTTCTTCATGGGATCCGGCAAATCAAATTTGCAGCATTGGAGCAGCAATGGCAGGATCGCATTAGCGAGAAGCGCCGCGTTGAATTAGGCCTCCTCTGGCAGGCCTCACTATATACTATTGGCATGGTGTCTGTGTGGATCATGGGACCTCTAATGCTGTCTGCCGTCTCATTGACAGTGTATACTCTGACTCGTGGTGAGCTTTCTGCTTCCGTTGCGTTTACGACTCTTTCCATATTCGGCTCCCTAGAATCAGCCATGGCAAGCTTGCCTGATTTACTTTCGAAGGGAATGGAGGCCAAAATTAGCGCGGATCGCATCGAACGATATCTGGGCTCATCCGAAAAGTCCCCCCATACCTCTGCTGTCGACAAAATTTCCTTCCACAATGCGACCATCGCCTGGCCTGGCGAAGAAGGGGCGGAATTCGACCAGCGCTTTCTGCTCCGAGACCTCACCCTGCAATTCCCTCCCAAGGGCCTCAGTGTAATATCTGGAAAGACTGGCTCTGGGAAAAGCCTACTTTTAGCTTCAATCTTAGGGGAGTGCGATGTCTTATCTGGGACCGTGGCAGTACCCCATGCTCCTTCCATAAACAGGACATATGATCAGCGAGCCACTCGCCATAACTGGATCATTGACTCAGCCATCGCATATGTTGCTCAGAACCCCTGGTTGGAGAACGCCACTATCAAGGACAATATCCTATTCGGCCTTCCGTACGATCGCTATCGTTACCGCAAAGTCATTTATGCCGCAGGCTTGAAAAAAGACATCGCGATGTTTCCAGATGCCGATCGGACGGATATTGGTGCAAACGGAATTAATTTGAGTGGTGGCCAGCGCTGGCGCATTTCATTTGCGCGTGCTCTGTACTCCCGTGCCGGAATCCTAGTTATGGATGATATATTCAGTGCACTTGACGCTGAGACTGGGCGCCACGTGTATGAGCATGCCCTTATCGGCAAGTTAGGCCATGGCAGGACCAGGATCCTGGTCACGCATCATCTTGGCTTGTGCCTGTCTCGGACTGACTACTGTGTTATCCTGTCGGACGGGCTTACGATTCATGCTGGGACAGTAGATGAATTGGCAGCCACTCAGAATTTGATAGATTTGTTGGGCGAATCTGCCAAGTCATCAAATGACCGCAATGCTGATGTAGTAGACGACGAACCTGTGACGCCGATAACACCGATGAAGCGCGTATCTACCGAGTCAGGCTTCTCAGTAGCAACAAGTGTCGCCGAGCCTCCAAGGAAGTTCACGGAAGACGAGAGGCGCGAGAAAGGAGCCGTGTCTCTGCAAGTGTACACAACATATATTACCAAGGGGAAATGCCTACGCTGGTGGACGATAACGTTTTTGGCTTATGTCGCATTTATGACGCTTTTAGTCGGGAGAGTAAGTGCTCATATCCTTCCAGTCATGGACCACAATTGACCGTTCTTAGTCCTGGTGGATAAGCGTTTGGACAGATTCGTCCACATCCTCATCCCAACCGGCCCATTCGAGTGCTGCCATCCAATCTCGAACAATAGATGTCAACAGACGTTTTGTCGACAAGGACTCCATGTTCTATCTTAGCATATATGTATGCTTTTCCGTAGCTGCATGTATCATTGGAACTTTGAGGACTTTGGCCCTTGCCCTTGCGTCTCTGGAGTCTTCCCAGCGACTCTTTGATGACCTATTAGCAGCTGTATTGCGCTCACCGCTGCGGTGGCTAGATACGGTGCCCCTTGGCCGGATACTCAATCGATTCACATCTGACATGTACATTCTTGACTGGAGGCTCGGCTATGATATTGGACACTTCGTGTTCAAGGCTCTGGAGCTGACTAGTATACTAGCAGCAGGAGTATTGGTATCCCCGATATTGTTGGTGCTTGCCTGTATCCTCCTGATCTTATGCTTTCGACTCTCCAAGATCTACCTCACGGGAATGCGTCAAATCAAACGACTCGAAAGTACCGCTAAAAGTCCTGTCCTGGAACGATTTGGGTCCAGTCTTTCCGGTCTGACCACGATTCGAGCTTTCAACAAAGCAGATATCTATTTGAAAGATATGTACGATCGCATCGATCGTCATGCTCAGGCGGCGTGGTATCTCTGGCTTTTAGACCGATGGCTATCATTTCGGATGAGTATTGCGGGAGCCGTGCTGGCCGGGATGACAGCAGCTCTGGTAGTGTACGTTCCCAGCATTTCTCCGGCACTGGCAGGTTTCGCCATGACATTTGCGCTACAATACAATTATGCCGTGTCGATGGGTCTGCGCTTCTATGCAAATGTGGAAACAGACATGAACGCTACTGAGCGGGTGTTGGAGTACTGCAACATTGAGCTGGAGGAGCAAGGGGGGCATAACCCGCCAGCGGCATGGCCCACGCGTGGAAAGGTCGAAGTTGAGGATCTGGTTGTGGGGTACGCCCCCGACCTGCCTCCTGTGATTGACGGGCTTAGT